TTTGAATATTTGCTTTCATGACCTTATGTATGCTATTTTTCTTCAACTGTATCATGCTTTCATCTTTTTAAGATTTATTTATTTTTATTTTATGTGTATGAGTGTTTTGCCTGCATGTATTTAAATGCACCACATGTGTACAATATCCTTAGAGGCCAGAAGATGGCATCAGATTCCTTGAAACTGGAATTAGGACCATTGTTAGCTGCCATGTGGGTGATGGGAATGGAACCCCAGTCTGCTGTAAGAACAGCTAGTGCTCTCAACTGCTGAGTCATCTCTCCAGCCCCTCATATGTTCATTTATCTATACATTTTAACTTTATCCATCATTCAAGATTTAATTTAAACTCATCATTACTCAAATCATCCATTCACCTCCCTTTACAATGGACATTTCCTGCTTATGAATTTCTATGAAATATATTTTCCACCCCATTAATTTTAGCAATTGGCAGCTATTACTGGTAATCGTTTGTTTTCTTTGTAGAAGAAAATCTGAACTGAAATTTGATGTTCATTCTATTATTACTAAAGTATTGTAATGACTGTATAATTAATGCCATCAGATCAAGTTCGTAAAATGTTATTGAATCTTGCATTCTGCCCCAACACCTAAGAGATAGTGTGCCCTTACAAATGGAATAGTGTTCTACGTGTTTCACAGAGGGTTGTATTTTCTACACTTGCCAAAGTGTGTTTGCATTGTACTACTTCTCATGATTGTTTATACTTTACAAGAAGAAATAATTAATTTCAGAAGCAGATCTTAATTCATGACTAAAAACATTATTATTAATGGCAAACCTCATATGTATTTGGGACAAGAATAAATCATTACAATGTTGGTATAAATAGTCTCTAAATAGTCATCATACTCAATCAATTAAAGTCTAGAGTACATTTTTAAAAACTTAAATTTCAATGTAAAAACCTTATTTTTCAGTCAAGACAGCTATAAATTTTCAGAAAATGTGACCAGTTGGTCCATTTCCCATTTATCATCTGCATATCTCCCCATGTTTCCTCTATTTTTAATGTCTTGGAATGTGTGTGGTACATTTCCTACAGTACCAAACCAATATTGGATGCATGTTGTTACTAAAGTTCATAGTCTTATGCAATTCAATGAATTTTGACAAATGTATAACATGATGTACCTGCTAGTCCAGTATTGGACGTTGTACTTGCACTGATGAAGCAACCCCCAGCAAACGAGCTTTCCATCCTTTCCCCTGCTGTCACATAGTGATATTTGCTTTTCCTCCATGTCTTTTTTGTGGCTTGATAGCTCATTTTTAAAAACACTAAATAATACTGAAATGTGTGAATGAACATATCACAGTTTGATTATCCATTCACCTACTGAACACCTCTGTTGTCTGCCATTTTTAGCAAGTGTATAAAAAGTCATTATAAACATTCATGTTCAGATTTCTGTGTGAACATAAGTCTTCTATTCAATGGGAGAAGTGCTTTAGAGCATAACTGTGATGTGTTTAGCTCCTAAGACACCACCAGAGTGGCTTACAAAGTGCAGCCACTTTGTATTCCCAGGGACAAGGGGGGAGTTTGGGCTGTTTTGCGTTCTTATCAGTGTGTGGTACTGTGAGCTGTAGGCTTTGGCATTCTACACGTGTGGTGTCAGTTGAAGTTGTTTTGATTTTAAGTTCCTTAATGACAAAGGTTACAGGGACTTTCCACTTCATATGCTAATTTGCCATCTATGTATCTTCCTTGGTGAACATGCCTGTTCATATATTTATCTACCCTTAACTATTTTATCTTTGTTATTTTAAAGATACTAGATATAATTGTGTATGGACACATTTATGTAAATAAATTTTATAACATAAAATGAATTAAATCTATACTGTTAAATGAGATATAAACATGTAATCATTAAGATTTCTCACTCAATAACCCAATTTTGATGAAAATGTCAGAAGTTATTTACAATAGAAATAGTCTTCTTTCTTTGTTGTTTTTAGTTCCTAGTTTTAATGTGTGCAAGAAGGTATGCTTGATTAAAGACAAAATTAAATGTTCTAATTAGCTTAATCATCAAACCACTTTTGTCAACCTTAAAACATATTTAGTTATATCATCCCATCTATATTTATATTGTCCCCTCAAAAAATGTTAATCTAATGCTCAAAAGGGTCATAGAAAGTAAGTATTAAATATGATGGAATCTGGCAGATTTTCATGTATTCAGGCATTAAAAATAATTTTTGAATAGGAAATTAAACTACTCTAAAATCATGAAGCTATTGACAATAAAAGCAAGGAATTACTATCAATAACCAAAATGCAATATTAAGGGAATACTTGTAATTCTGGAAGTAGTTGTTGGGAGAATTTTTTTTTTAAATATAGCAATTTATCCCAAGGTCCCCCATTTCTGCTTCCAAGTGTGACAGAGGCTTAAATATTAAATAGGAAGAAAGGTTTAGATAAATTTATTAGTGGTTGAGCATTAAAGCTTTCTTCCTCTGTTTCCAACTGATCATGAAAGAAACACCAGCCTTCTACAGGCCTTCCCCTAGCTAGGAGGATGCAATGTTGGGTAAAGGAGGAATGGTGAGAATACAGTGATTTTGAGGAATGGGAAATGTTGCAAAAATAAGATGTTTAGAAACCAAATTGAACACATTCTTAGATTTGTGTTTTTCTGAAGGTGGTGAAGTGGCTATTTTCTTCAGTATTCTTCGCGGTATGAGTTCCAGTTCAACCCAAAGGGACTCTGCTGCATGGTGTTATTTCCCTTGCACTTTCTTTAAAGAAAACGAAGAAGAGTCATTATAGTTCTCAGAGAAGAGCTTCCCAGAGAGAGTGCTTGTCTGTGAATTGAGCATGACAGGGCACTGGTTCCTGCTGGATGCTGTGTGACTGCCTTGGCATCATGGTCTGCCATGTACTTGTCAGCTACCTGTAGAGTTTCCAGAGCCTCTCCAGGCCTTTTCTCCACAAGCTACCTTCCCTTTAATTAAGACATTTCTTTAGGTGTGCTTGCTGTGTCTGTATAACTTTGGAAGTTCATAAACCAGGCCTGTTTTCTTAATGTCTCCAAAAATTACATTACTACTCTATGCATTTGACAATGATTCTCAAATACTTAAACTTAATAAATATTCCTTTGCCATTTCTTCATAGAATACAGTTTTTAGATAAGTAGTTGTGCTGAATGGGCTGAGCACAGCACATCAGAAAGGTGGCTTCTGTCCTCACAGAAGACAGCATTGGCTCGGCTGATTTCATGGCATGATAGCAATTTTGTTAAGCATATAGAAAAACTGAAAAAGAATAAATAAGAGGATGAAACGAGGGTATGGATTAAAGGTGCTTTCCTTTAATTATGAGAATATAGAATATTAACAATGATTTTAATAATTATCACAGATTATTATATAATAGCTTTTAGAGACACTATACATAGATAATTTTCATTTATAATTTTCTTGATATTTTGTTAGGCAAGAGTAAGAGAATATTTTAGGATTGTGCCTTCATGTACAAAGTATAATTTATGACAAGTTACACAAAGTATTTATTAGATTCTCAGGAGTAGTATGCGCATCCTTGACAGTTGTAATACTATTCACAAAAGCCAAATTAAGGAATCAGATTAGGTATTCATCAGCACATGAAAAGATAAAGAAAACATGGCTTGCGTACACAATGGAGTTTTATTCAGTTATAAAGAGGAATGAAATTATGTCATTTGCAGGAAAATGAACAGAACTAGAGATCATCATATTAAGGGACAAGAGAAAGATAAATATCACATTTTTTTCATATGAGGATCCTAAATTTTATTTGTATGTATAAAATGACTTGTGCCAATGAGATGACTCAGCAGGTATGCTGCTTGCTGCCTGACGATGCAAGCCCAAGGACCTGGGTTCAATCTTCGAACGCAAGCAAAGGTCGTAAGGTGGAAGGAAAGAACTGACCCACCAAGTGGTCCTCTGACCTTCACATTCATGCTGTGACACAAAGCCCATACACACGCGCACACACACACACACATTAAATTAATAAATACACAAGCACATACACACATGAATTAATAAATACAAAATTACTTAAGTATATGACATGAAGGTAGATGGAAGACTGTCTGGGAAAAGGACAGGAGCTATTGAGAGGCAGGGAACAGGAGACTGGGGCAAATATAAAGGACATAATAAATTTATAGAACTGTTTATGAGACTCATTACTACCTACAATAAATTTGCATGGATAAAATTTTTTAAATTAAAATGTTGAGACTCACTAAACTTTTAATTCTATGTTATTTAAAACATGCTATATTTATTATGAACCATTAAATTGTAGTATTTAAGGAAGGCATTTTATATAAACAACTTCACAAAGATTTAAAAATGAATTATAAAATATAAAATTTTATATGAGTAGTATTCATAATTAAATTTTGAATAGTCTCTGTATTAAAATACTTAGTTAAAAATGATTGCTTTAATTGGAATTTTATTTTATATCCATTTTTAGTAAAGCCAAGAGCTATTCTATCACTAATAATGCTTAATATAAAGTTTAGCCAAGTGCAGGAGCAAAATTGTTAGTGTACATCCTTTCATTGTATGAAGCCACACTGTCTAGGCACAAATTCTGCACTTGACACTTAGCAGGTGTAAGAATTTGGCAAACTACTTACATCTCTGTGCTTCAGTTACCTGAGCAACGAGGTGGGGCTCACAGGAACGCCTGCTCCACAGTCTGTTGATAACTGAATTAAGTTCATACATGGGAACAATTCTTTTACGGTATGAATTCAACAGACAGTAGCTGTTGCTGCTATTACAGTAGACTAGAAATGTAGTTCCAGACAATGAATCTGAATATATAATTACTTCTTTGCATGCAATTATCTTTTTGTTGCTTCCTGCCAGTGAGTGCTCTGACGGGTAGGTGTGTTAGGGAAGTGGGTCTCCAGCTGACTGAAGGACTGATACATCTTTCTGTGATTCCTTGCAGATATCATGGAAATCAGGACAGTGGCAGTTGGAATTGTGGCAATCAAAGGGGTGGAAAGTGAATACTATCTTGCAATGAACAAAGAAGGAAAACTCTATGCGAAGGTATTGATAATTGATAGCTTAGAGCTGTCATTCAAACTTACTTTTGTCAAAAATATTTGTCCTTCCAAAAAAGTAAAACTGGAATGAATTTTATCCAGTGTTACAAGTTGGTGAATTCATTAAAACATTCTCTACTCCAGCACTAAGAAAAATTTTTTCTGTGTGACCTTATATTGTTTGCGCTTTAGCTTCTTCATCTATAAAATGATTTGGCATGACTGATTTCTGAGAATCATTCCAACTCTAAACTCCCAAGTGCATTTTAGATTACTTGAAACCTAAAATTTCCATCTGTCAGCATTAAAGCTCTTTTTGTTAGTTCACCCAATTTGCATATTGCTGATATGAAGATTCTCGGGAAAAATTTCATTTATCAACATCATTTTCACAATCATGAGTTTTGAACTATAAGTATGCACAGTTGTGTCCACTTTATTACGATGCAAATTACGCAACAGTTCATCCCACTATAACAAAGTACAATAGGCTTTCCTTAGGATTCCTGTAACTCAGCACAACGTCTCCTGCAGGCAAACTATGTAATACAGGTTTGACTGAATGAACGCTTGGCTTATGGATGAACAAGTAAACTAACTTTCCATTTTCATTACCAGTGAAGGTAATATAGTATTAAGTGAAGTAGTTTGTGCAATAGGTTCCTCCCAGAGGGAGGCAGAGGCCATACCAACTGCACTAAATTTCCTGTGGGTGAAGAATGAGCAAAATGGCACAGCAATATGAATTACTAAGGAGGAAAGAAATCTCAACATTAAAGAGCAATAGACACTGATTGCCAGAAGGGACTTTTTGAGGTCATGTGACATAATCAAATGTACATTATGTTATTTTGTTAAATTCAAGATGCTTTTGTGGTAAAGCTATATTGGGCTTGCTTAATGTGAAGTTTAGAAGAAATCTTACAGGCTTCAGCTCTATCAATCATTACCTGCTTGCTGATAGCTTATCTGAGTTCCTCCAAAACCCGTTTGAATAATGTGTTTTTTTTTTTTTAAACAGAAAGAATGCAATGAAGATTGCAACTTCAAAGAATTAATTCTGGAAAACCATTACAACACATATGCATCTGCTAAATGGACACACAGTGGAGGAGAAATGTTTGTTGCTTTAAATCAAAAAGGGGTTCCTGTACGAGGGAAAAAAACGAAGAAAGAACAAAAAACGGCCCACTTTCTTCCTATGGCAATAACCTAATGATACATGGTGTATAAGAAACCAGTTTCAGCAGGGAGATTTCTTTAAGTGGACTTTTTTCTTTCTTCTTTCCTTACTCTCTCTCTCTCTCTCTTTTTTAAAGTAATCAAGAAAGGCTGGAAAACTACTGAAAAAACTGATCAAGCTGGACTTGCGCATTTTTGTTTATTTTAAGAGACTGCATTAAAGATTTGAAAACTATACACAAAAATCAGATTTAGTAACTAAAAGTTGTAAAAAGTTGTAAAACTGGTTGTAAAATCATGATGTTAGTAATAGTGATTTTTTTTCTTAAATTAATTTACCCTTAAGAGTATGCTAGATTTGATTATCTCATAATGATTATTTAAATATCACTATCTGCTTATAAAATGGCTGCTATAATAATAATAATAATAATGATAATAATAATAATGCAGATGATGTTATATAAGATCTGACAGACCTAAAAGCTGCTGGAATGAGTTGGGTAATCAAGCCGACACAAACTGTGGAAGATGAGCAGTATTTGAAATGTTTTCCAGTGAAAATTATAATCCACTTAAGCTCTGTTCAGAAAACAATTAATGCTGTAAAATTTTTGATATAGAATTAAATAGGTAGTTTTATAAAATTACAGGCTTAGCACATAACTGCACTGATTAACATGGAAAGAAAATTCGTAAGGCCACTCAAATTGAAAGAGGATCGCTAAAGGGATGTTACAAAAATCTTGTATATAAAATAGCAATAACAATGATAATACTGTATTTCATCTTGCCACAAAGTAACATTTCATAATCCCTAAGAACACAATTCAGAAATCTTTAAGTTTTTTTCAAGTAATATAATCTATCTTTTGTATAATTCATATTTGGGAACATGACTTTTAAAAATGTTCTTCCCACAAATAATCGTGCTTTTTTCCTGTGGTTACAGCATTAAACTCTATTTTAAGTTGTATTTGAATTTTATTGTTTTGTTATTTAAGTTTATGTTATTTATAAAAAAAACTTAAGAAGCTGTATGTGTTTCATATGCTTTTAATTTTAAAGGAATAACAAAACCGTCTGGCTGAACTGCAAGTTTCTCCTCCCTCTGGTGACAGACACCAAGCCTAGTGCATAGCACTTAGCCAGTAAATCCTGGATGGCAGACAAAAAAGACAGCCTGCAGCATGCTTACAATAGAGGCTCAGAGGGAACAATACAAATATGTGAAAAATGTTTTGCCATAGGACTCTTGCCAATTAATTTGGATCATATAAGTAAAAGAAATTACAGGATTTTAAAACTAGAATATATTTTAATGCGTGGTAGAAAAGTATATTTTAAAAGCAGGTATATTTAAAGTTAGCAATTTTATAACCTTTCGAGCATCTGCCATGTAAAAGATGACAACACTGAAAGTAATTTTCCAGTTAAATGGCAAAAGCATAACAGTCCAAATAGAAGCTGTAGTCATGGTATGGGGCCTTGAACACCACCAAGGCTTGAGGTCAGGCCACGGATAACAGGCTTGACAGAAAGATTCATACTCACTCTACAGTTCTTCCATCAGCAGATGTTCAGCACTTCATATGTTCACAGCTATTTAAATTGTGGGTATACTAACTATTTCGAGTTCAACTTCAAAGTGTTTTTCATTCAAGTACTTTTATATTACTTAGAACCTTATTTGGCAATATGGTTATAAGTGAGAGTTACGTGATAGGGCTCTGTCAACAAAAACATCATAGTCATTGACTTTCTTGTGGTTTGCCCACATGTCCTGGCTACAGGAAGTGAGGAAGAGTTGGTGTTCCTCACATGCGCTCTAAGAGAGTCCATGAAGGACATTCTGAACTATCTGATTCACAGATGTTGCTGGTGTAGCTCCCTAGGCCAGGCTCCTGTGACTAGAGTCATGTGATCATAATGAGAGTAGAAGAGGACTGACTACATTACAGTTGGTTTCTTAGTGCCTAGCAGAGTGCTAGTCCACAATCTGTTTATATGAATTCATTCAATAATGACTTTCAAAGAATTTGGAATGAAATTAATCTTACTATATTTTAAAAACTTGTAGTGAAGCATGGTTATGCAGAAATTTAGACAGAAATACTGTACATACACAGAAGATGGGTTGCAATTAGCATTACATTACAGTTACTATGAAAATATCATCAGACTATTGGATTTGAGTAGGACAAAACCAACATTTAGTGATAAAACCATTATTAGTGATATAAGGATATAAGCCATATTCAAACTTTTCCTAGAATATTCACTTTTAAAAAGATTTATGTTTATTTTTAATTGTGTGTATGTGTATGTGAGTGCAGTACCTGCAGATTCCAGAAGGGGGAGTTGATCTCCTGGAGCTGGAGTTGCAAGCAGTTGTGAGTCACCCACTGTGGATGCTGGGAACCAAACTTGGGTCCTCTGCAAGGGCAGTACATGCTCTTAACTGCTGAGCCATCTATCTAGCACCAGCATTTACTTTTAATTATTGGTTTTATTTTTTAATTATCATGTAAATTAAAAAAATATGCTTCAGCCAAATATATTTAGAATTCTATACTCTTAAGAGTCTCTGAACCTTCATCTTTCTTTCTTTCTCAAGAAATTGAGACTTTGACATACTCAAGGTCATGTAACTAGATAGAAGCAGACCTGTCACAGCATCTAGGACATTTCTCATGTCTCTTACTTTTAGATTATTTGTTAGTGATCTCCTGGATTCAAGGACTTTCTTCTTCCCTTAGAGACAAGAGTTATGCAATTTGGGAGTCTTTTAGATAGACCCACTGAAGGTGTACTTCAATTGCCTCACCCTGCGTCCCTGTTCAGCATGGAAGAAGCCAGAAGCAGACCTGTCACAGCATCTAGGACATTTCTCATGTCTCTTACTTTTAGATTATTTGTTAGTGATCTCCTGGATTCAAGGACTTTCTTCTTCCCTTAGAGACAAGAGTTATGCAATTTGGGAGTCTTTTAGATAGACCCACTGAAGGTGTACTTCAATTGCCTCACCCTGCGTCCCTGTTCAGCATGGAAGAAGCCAGAGCGGTCGGCGTCCCGATTCCCTTTTGTCAATTTGGGTAACCCCTTCAGAGGATGGTGTGATAAGAATAGGAGGTAGGAATTGTCTAGGCAGTTAGGGTAAAAAGACCCCAAAGAAAAGTAGCCAGTTTCTTGGCTAAAACTCACAAGGTTCTTGGGCCTCTTAGCAACACTCAAAAGGATAAGAAGAATGGAATTTCCAAATCTGATTCCTACTCTACTTTTATGTGCTCTTCTTTATTAACAAAAGAAAATATTATGCAAAACATATTTAATTAGAAAAATCCTTTCTAAAATGTTTTTTAAAGAGAAAATTATATCACTACATGGATTTCCAGAACTAGTAAAGAATTAAAGTATATGAAATGTTAACAAAACATACTGATATAGACAAGTCATAGTGTAAATTGTTGATCTTTGAGTTAGTTATGAGGTCAGTTTAGTGACAGAAGTGATGCCAGATGTAGACATAGAGTTCCTATCATTTAGAATTCTTTTCTTCCAGGTTTTTAGAGTGCCCCAAACTTGAAGAGTGGCTGTGGGAACTTGCCAGAGGAAAACAGTTCTATAAACCACAGATACCTTGAAACTGTGGTTTCCTCTTAAAACTTTATATTGAAATACCTATGGATATAAAATGAGGTCCCAAGGAATGACATAAAAGTAGCCCACAAAAGCAGAACATTTCTTGAAATATTTTTTCTTAAAATTCATGTGAGTTTTTCATTTCCCTCTATTATACATTTATATTTTCTTTAATGTGAAAATATCTCCAATTGATGCCAGTGAGCAAAATGTTTCAGAAGGACACCTGAGATTTATTATAAGATTTCAGTTGCACCCCTAACCCACTCTCACATACCCATGCATGAGTATGACACAAATTACCTCCAGTCTTCCATGATCCAACTTTACACACAAATAATACAGGGATAACATCTCATGTGAGTGGTTATTGACCAATAAAACTATTTCACTTAATCCTAGTGCTGGGGAGTGGCACACACACACACACACACACACACACACACACACACACACACACAATGGCTCATTAAAATGCCCTCTTTCATTGCTGGGCTACTCTTCTTTGCTTCTGTATTCAAGGACTTGTTCTCTTAGCCTCACAAATGCTCTCATTCATCCTCCAACATTAAATGATATATTAAGAAAATTTATTTTCTCTTGAATTGAGGAGGCTTGACAGGAAGTAAAAAAAATCTTAGTCTCTTCACAACAATTCTTTTTTCTCATTTTTTAAAGGATGCCTCTTAAGGAGTCAGGTAACTACACTCGTGGGAAGATGTCTTTCTTGTTTTCCTTTTACTTCTTGATTATTACATGGTTCTATTTCCCAAATCACCATAATAGATTTTATGAAAGTCTATACAAACTTATTTACCTTCATATGATCAGTAATTGTTTTCTTCTCTGGATGAACACAGAGAACCATTAGTTATGGTTGCTATTGTCTTGTAGTTTATGTGGCTCGGAATTCTGGGCATTATTCAGCTAGGTACCAGTTTGCAATCTTCCTAAAGTTGTAATCAAGGTATTAACCAGGGTAGGCACTGATGTCAACATTCAGTTCTGAGGGGGATCTAGCTCCCGTCCTCACTGACTGCTGGCAGCAACGGTTTATTTCCTACAAGACAGTGGATCAGACATTAAAGTGTCCAAATGGAAGCCACAGTTTTAAGGAGTAACTTCATCTTTGATGTGATGTTACTTTATGCCACACACAAAGGGTGGTATCATTCCTGCAACACAGGAAAGTCTGCCTAATGCAAATGTTAAAGTAGATGGGCATTTAAGACTGTTACCATAAACAAAGATGCTATAAGGCCTAATAAGACAAATTCATGGCATCCAGTGATAACTACTCACGGAGAAACAGATGGAGTAGGCATAGCCTCTGTGGAAAATTAGTACATTCTTCCACAGGCAAATTAAAGAAGGTTGAACCATGTCTGGCCCTGTTAAGCTGGGTTGTGTTTTCTTAGATATAATGCAGCAAGAAAACAATATCACTCCCCGCCACATGAAGGACACTATCCTGTCTTGAGATTCGTCCTATAAATAAGCCTCCTCTTAACTTCCTTACCTTAAGAGAGTAAGATCATAGATGTTGACTGAATATTTCCTCTGAACCACAGAGAGCTTCGTGCGGTCCCAAGTTATCCAAGAGCATGTGAGCATACGAAAACCTAAAAAGACTCGAAAGCCATTGATTTCAGATCTAGATGTACATTTGAATTACCTTGTGCTTTTATTTTTCTTTTTAAAATAAGAAGGCAGAGTCCCCATTCCAGGTCAGCTCTATGGTTTATATGGAATGGGGCATAGACAATAGTATTTTTATAACTCCCCCAGAAATCCCTCATGTGCCTTCTGCAATTGAGAACTAAGTAGGCAAGTGGAAAAATCAAAGCAAACTCCTTTAGGACCTAGTCCTGGCTCTTCACCATTGTCTCCCCCTTAAACACATGGAAGAGCCTTATTCTCCACCCCACTTTGGTTTTCCATCATTTTGTTATTTACAATTAGGTCTGAAAGGAACACAAAATATAAAGAGAGTTCTAATTGTTTTGGCAATGAAATGATTACAGAATATAAAAGGAACAAAAGTCTGTGCCAGTACATGGTCCATGCTCAAACAGAGCAAACATGCATTTGAGATCATAAAATCTCTCTGCTCGATTTGCAGTTGTTTTCCATATTATACCAAATACAATCTCAACTTCCACAGAAGCCTCTAGAGTGGCAACTGAAAAAAAGGTAGCTGATTAGAAACTTTGCTGTTAATGGTAACAACATGCACAAGACCCATGCAAGTTCAAGCCAGACAAAATCTCAGCACAGAATTGGGGGAAGTGGGTAAGAAGCCCTGATCTTAGCAGAGGCACTGCTGGGAGAGGGAGAGTTGGTTTTCTTTAAGGGAGTGATGCTAGACAGGTTAACCAGGCTCCAGTGGGTGGACCCACACAGAAGGACATTTAAGGATACAAACTTGACTTGATAGTCCTTTATATATATATATATAACATATACATTGTTTTATATATGCCATATATATGATATATATATAAACAATGTACATGAAATCCAGTGGGGAGGGGCTATAAATGTGAACATTTTTACGTTCTTTGCATTTCTCATTGTCTTGTTAGGATATCTTTATGAAATGGAATTGGGGGGCTGGAGAGATGGTTCAGCAGTTGCTGACCAATAAGCTTCAGGAATC